GGAGAGGAAGGCTGTCTATCTGACGAGTTTGTATTCATGCTCAGATGCTGAGGAGCTCAGAAGGTGGGCGACTGTGACCAGTGATAGTTTTTTCTTTTTTTAAGAAAATTTTTTGGTCTTTTTGAAACAGGGCCTCCCTGTAGCCCAGCTTGTCTGGCACTCATGATGTAGACCAGGCTGGCCTTGATCTCTGCCTCTGCCTCCTGAGTGCTGGGACTAAAGGCGTGCACCACCTCGCCCAGCTTAAAAAACTATTTTATTAGCATTCCTTTCTTTAGGAAGTAATGTGGATTAGATTGAAAGACTGCATAGTTTGCAGAATTTGGAAAAGGAGTGAATGGAAAACTCACATTTTAGGAATAGTGATAATTTTACATTATTGTTGAAGCTTGGTAGTATAGTTTTTCAGTAAATAATATTTAAAATATTATAGTAGACATACAGAATTTTGAATTTATATTCTAAGATATAATTCCATATTTTTAATTTGAGGATTATGTGTTTAGTTATTATAATACTTTCTATTCTTTTTTTTAACTTCCCAGACTATGATTTTTTTTATCTCTAGAAGTTCAGTTAGGGCATGGGTGAAGGCACAGTGGAACTGTAGACGAGTAATAGAAAAATGATGGAAAAACCTCTTGATGCCTGGTAATGGGAGAGATCTAACATCAAGACCTGGATACCCAGCCAGGCATGGTGGCACATGTCTTTAATCCCAGCACTTGGGAGACAGAGGTGGGCAGATCTTTGTGAGTTCAAGGTCAACCTGGTCTACATAATAAGCTCCAAGCCAGCTGGGGCTATAGGGAGACACTGTCTCAAAAAGACTAAAATAAATAAATAAATAAATAAATAAATAAATAGGACCTGGATGCCCAAGACCACATGTGGAATGAGGACCACAGCTGAGCCTCAGGGGAGATAGGAGTTCCATTCCAGAGAAGCAGTCCTACCAAAACCAGAATCTGCAAATAACAGAGGCCTCCCTTGTTCCCAGCATAAGAGGCAAAGCTTGTAGTCTGCCCCTACACCCCGTAAGGAGGAGCTGTGGTCCTGCCCAGGGAGTTGGAGCAGTGGCCCCACCACAAACCAGAGTTGTGGTCTTCTCCTGTGTGCTTGAGCTGTGGTCCCCTCACATTAACCTGGAGCTGGAGTCCCCTCTTATGAGCTGGAGCTGTGGTTCCCTCGTGTGAGCCTGAAGTTTTGGACCCCTACTGGGATTCATGGCTCCACATTCCTCTGGTAGTAGGCTGATGATGATGCAGAGTAGAGCATGGAGGACTTCTGATGTTGGGCAGCTGCTTCAGTCTTCTCTGAGTGACTGCATCCCCCACACCCTCCTCCCTTAAGATCCCAGGTTTAGTGTTTCTAAAAAAAAAAATCATTTGATCAACGGTGAATGGAGGGAGAACACAGGCCAAGTAGACAGAGGCCCATAACTTTCCTTTGGGAATTATTGAATCACTGTTGTGAAAAGTTCATGTTCTAACTTTCCATCTTCCATGCCTCTGCTCCCTTACCACCTGGTTGAACCTCAGGGGTATTTCTGTTCCAGGTCATGATCTTGCTATGCAATCAACAAAGTTTCATCTGCACACATGTGGACTACTGCCATCCACACTGCTACCTGCACCACAGCCGCTCCTGTGCCCGGCTGGTCAGGGCCATTAAGCTGCTCTATGGGGATAGTGTGGACTCCCTACGTGAGAGCAACAATATCAGCAATGTGGCTCTGAGGGGCAAGAAACAGAAAGAGGTGAGTGAGCAGTCTCTGAGCAATGTATCAGGATGGGGAAAAGATGCCCACATGGTGAGGCTATAAAACTCTGGAAATAAAAAAATGCAGGCAATGGCAATTATATAAGTCATACTGCTGATCTGTTTGGCCCTGAGAACAAGTAGATGGTAAATGAAAAAGACAGATGCTTTGTCTGTGTTCATGAGTAAACATGGGATATTTCCCCAGGCTTTGTCTTAAAATCATGTATAAATATCACTTTAGAGAGATGGTGGTGATGAGTAAGTTATTATGGTAGCCAGAGTAATGTCTCCCTGTAACATGTGAATAGGATGCCTCATGTGACAAGTAAGACTTTGTAGGAATGGTTAGGGATTTTACAGAGGGAGAGTGTCCTAGATTATCCAGGTGGGCCCAGTGTAATCATTTCTGTTCTCATGCATGAAGAAATGAGATTGGGGAATCAGGGGCAGAGCAGGAGCTGAGATGATGGAAACAGAAGGCGGAGTGGGCCAGGATTAGCCCAAGCACACTGGAAACCTCTACATGCAAAGAAAGACAAGTAAACAGACAAGAAAAACAGTACTCCCTGAAGCCTTCCAATCGATGACCCCCAGAAGTATAAAATAACAAACCCAAGGCATTTCAAGCCAGGAAGCTTGTAATAATTTGTTACAGTAGCAATAAGGGGCTAATATAACTATGCCTTATAAAATACACAATAAATTGCCCAATTATTTACAGATAGGTCAAATCATACTAAGGAAATTCCTTCAAGAAACCATGACATTTTCCAGGTATTAAGCTGACCTTTGAGTTGAGTTGGCAGAAGAGGACAGTAACCATGACAACTGTCAGGTTTCCTGACAGGAAATCCCTGAGTTCTCCACCTGCCCTGGGCAAGCAGGGCAGCCAAGACACCCATTCTACTGGATGCTAGAGGCTTCCCCTGCAGCTGCTTTTCTTGAATGGTTTTGCAAAGAGATTTTCATATAACACCTGTTCACTTCAACAAGCATCCTTTATCCATCTCCTATTGGCGTGGTATTCAGCCAGATAGTCTATTAAAAGAACATAAGCAGGAGCAAAGGATCTTTCTCCTAAGGAATTTGCACGCTAGGTTTGAGCTGGGAGTAGGTAATAACCTATAAACCAAGCAGCTTGAAAATATGAAGGATATAAACAAAAATGCCATTGAATTGTGTAACAATGTACAATACCACTCATAAAGGGATTTTTAAAGTTAAAACTTTTTTAGCTAGAAAGTAATTCATGTTCACTGAAGAGATTTTGGCTGATACAAGAGATCATTGTGAAGGAAGAAAAACAATGTGCCTCATGAGGGTGCTGTCTTAGCTTCTGGGACAAGCTTTCAGCGTTTATTCTAATCATATGAGAGGGCATAAGAAGCATGCAGATCATTGACAACGTGCCTTCTTGATTCTTATAAACCATGTACAAGGGTATTTTTCTACTCATTTTACAGGCAAAGAAAATGAGGCTCAGAAAATAAGACTAGCATAGTTCATATCTATGACCTAGTCTGCTGGACTCCAGTTAAGCTATGGATTGTTAAAGGCGGGGCTTTTCATTTCATGTTATTCAAACTATGTAAATTCCGAGGCACATGGAGTGAGAACAAATTAACATAGGTAACAATAAACTACACAATAAACTACACAATGACTGAATAAACTACACAAATGACATAACAAGAGAAATATATGCATATATGTATCTTATATATCTTATATGTATCATATATGTACCTTATGTATATTTCAAACATATATGATACTACTTTCAAAAATCTACTTTAATTTGTATGTTCTCTCCATATAAGAACTCTTGTAACTTAAAGAGAAACATGTATGTTGCAAGTTTCATAAAGATACAAGTCTAAATTAATTGTCATCATTCTCTGTAAACACTCTGAAATTCTTACTGCCATGCCCTTACTCAAATTATATCTTTATCTTCATGTATATGTGGCCAAACCCAAACATTCTTTAAGATTCAACTTGAATACTACCTGTTCTAGTTTTTTTCTGTCGCTTTGAGGAAATATCCCAACAAAAAGCAACTTAGGGGAGAAAGGGTTTATTTCACTTCACAATTCCATGTTATAGTTCATCAGAGCAGGTAAGTCAAGGTGGCAGGAACTTGAAAACAGCTTGTCACACCACATGAATGCATCCATGCTCACTTGATTGCCTCCCTGCACGCAGCTTCATTTCTCCAACTCATACAGTTCAGGACCCTCACCTATGGAATGGTGCCACCCACAGTGGATGGGGGTCTTCCCACATCAATGAATTTATTAAGACAATCCCACACAGACATGCCTAATGGACAACACAATATAGACAGTTCTTCATTGAGATTGTCTTCCCAGATGATTCTAGGCTGTCAAGTTGACAATTAAATGAGGTGGTAACAGAATTTTAAAGAACCTCTGGACCATGCCAAGCCCATATTTTGTTCTGGTGTAAAAGAGGAGAAAGGCTATAGCTCAGTTGGTAGGTGCTTGCCTAGCAGGCCCTGGGTTTAATCCTTAGTACCTCATAAACTAAGTGTGGTTGTGCACACATATAATTTCAGCACCCAGGATATAGTTGTAGGAAGATTAGTAATTCAAGATCATTCTCAGTTATGTGACAAGTTTGAGGCCAGCCTGGGATACATAAGACTCTGTCTCAATCATCCTCATCACCATTGACCAAAGCAATACAGCGCTTGCCTTCATATGTTATATAGGGTCTCATCTGAGGGAAAAGCATAGTCAAAGAAACCTCCTAGACCAATGTAAAATTACAACAGCAGTGTGAGACACACTACTGAGAGAGCTTCTGAATGAGGCTAAGGATTTGATGAGGAAATGGAAGACAGCCTTTCCAATAAACAGCCAACTTTTAATGAAAGGATGCATAGTTGTTAATTGAGTCTAAAACTTTCTGTCCAGAGAAGTGAATACACAGGACCGTGGCTGGAGCTCTGGGGACTGTAGTACATGATGGGGCTACATAGGCAGACAGAGAACAAACCATGTAGGGCCATAAGGAGGCTTTGTAATTATTCCATCCTTTCAGTGGAAAAAAGTATCCTCCGCCACTGAATCATTAACTCTGAGATCTGAGGGAGTCTTCATTCATCTTGTGTCTTACATAGCATTGTAACACATTCTCTACTTGCAAAAGATTAACAATGAATCTTAAATGAATGAGTGAGCTTATAGACAAGGACACTTGTATTCTAACTGTGGCTGATGACCTTCTGCTGTGGTATATACTTTTCCTATAGAACTAAAGGCAGAGATGCATCGTCTAGCCTTATTGAATTTAAAGTACTGATTTGAGTGAAGAACTATATTGAAAAGTACATAATAAACATTGTATTTCCAAAATGCAAGCTTCCTGTCCAAGCTTTTTCTCCCTCATGATATTTTCTATTTGCCTGTTCTGAGTCTGTCACACAAATGAACAATGCCCATACTTCTAGAACCAAAACAAAAACAGATAAAGGGCAATAAATCAAAAGTAAAAGCAGGGCTGGGTGTGGTGGCCCATACCTTTAGTCCTGGCACTCAGAAAGCAGAGGCAGGTGGATCTCAGTGAGTTCAAGGCCAGCCTCGTCTACATAGTGGGTTCCAAGACAACTGGAGCTACAGGGAAGACAAAAAGACCAAAAAAAAAAAAAAAAAAAAAAAAAACTCTGATCTACAAAGGGGATTGAATCAACAGAACTGACAGAAAAGGCTTATCTCAGTTTAAAACTCTTACAGATATTTAAAACAATCACATGATACTGTGGTGAACATATGCATGAAGATAGGGTTGCTTATTACCCTTCGTAAGGAGCCAGGTTATCATATTAGATTCATCTACAAGCAATTGATATTTCAACTGTTTCCTCTTCAGTTGATTTTTAAGGCAGAATATACTTGTACCAGCCAGTATATGTGTCTCCTGACTAACAGATCAGACTGCTGATCTGCATTTCAATGCTCAGGAATTCACTATGCATTCTGCTAGTTTATTTTTGTACACTTTCATTCTGTGTGTACGTATTACCCTCACCAAAGAAATCTACAATTTTTCTTCTATTTGGAGCTAAGCAAGTTTGTATTTGGTTTAGTTCTATGTATTTAGAAGTATATTCTAAGTAGACTACGGGGTCACTTAATTGCTGGTGAAAGGGTAAAATCATTTCTTAACCTCTTGGTTAAGACTGTAAGAAAGGAATAAATGAAATGAGTCTTTTTTTCTTTAGTCATAAAGAAGAGTGGGGTTGATGATACACTTCCCACGCAGAGAGAAAGGACATGGTGTGGGTAAATGTTGCTGAGCTAATGCAAATGGCAAGAGGTTGACTGATATCCTACAGAACTTTTTTCTAAAGCCAAAGACAATACTATTGTGAAGTTAAAACCAGACACCGGGTCTCAATTTACAGGCCAGAGTGAAATATAGCTGTAAAGTCACATTTAATTCTGGGAGCCCTGTACTATGCATGCTCTCAGCTCCCAGGCCCTCTGTGAGGCACGCTGCGACCTTTTCTTCCCACGCTGTCCTTATGACCAACCACAAAACCTATACCATGTCCCTCTAAGCTACAGTTTAGAGAATAAAGATATTTATTTCCAAGAGGGGGTTACTTACAAAGGCATGTACACATGTGGGCTTTTTTCCCCCCTACATCTCAGCTGAACTTTCTAGATCTGCAGCCACTGGTGCACAGGCCCATGATGGCAAAACTCCTACCTCCTCCCTGGCTTCTTCGGTGTCTGTCCTTAGACCCTTCCCCTCATTCATTTGAAGCTGACTGATTGGGTGGCAGGGGTGCCTGTCTCCTTCCCTTTCTACAGAGTCTCTTAGGGTTCAGACATCCAACGGGTTGCTAGTCTTTTCAGAGGCCACATCTACCCAACAATAAATAATACTTATCAGACATCCATAGTTCATATCATATATGTGTGAAACACCAAGGGTCTACTTACGTTTTAGAAAGTATTGCACTTCTGCTGGCATGCCCTTCTCTCCATGAGGAAATCACATTCCTGGAGGGCCCTGTCGGGTGATTTCCACTTTCCTGAATTTTAAGTGCCCATTATCTCCATAGTGAACTCCATTTCATGACAGGTAGCTCCCCTTTCCCTTACCCTTACTAGTCTGCTTCTAGTTCTCTGTCTCTCCTAGAGGAGAGGAAAGGGCAGGAGTGCCATGAATGTGCTCTCAGTGCTTCCCCAGATCTTAATCCACCACCTGGGATGCAGTTAACTTAATATTCTTGAGTAATTCAATAAATAAAAACCTTATTTTAAATAATTTAATATTATATCCATCTGAAGTCAGTGATCTTTCGATATAAGGAACAGTTCATTCAAACAAATTTAGGTAACTATGGAGTTTGTTTCAAAGACTACATCAGAATCTCTTAAAGTCAGAGACAGACAGAGAAACACACACACACACACACACACACACACACACATACACACCCCAAAACTGTCTGTTACAGAATTTCCTGTCTCTGCCTTTTCTGCCTCAGCTCTGCTCACTCGCTTGTCTCTGGCCAGCTTCTCTTGTTTTTTTTCATCTTATATTTAGTCTGAAAATGCCAAGAGGTGTCACTTTTTCCTGTCACTAACCACCATCACTACAGAATTCCCACTCTTGGTTCCTTAGGACAATAATTTGGTGCTGCCTCATTTTGAGCCAAACACAATGACAATTCCTTTACCAATGCTGATTTTGCATTAAAAATATAATCAATGACAATAACAATAAAGTATAATGGATTTTCCAAGATATATACAAGTTCTGCACCATCCCATAACTAAAAATTTCTGAGTATCCTGGGAGATCCTGTGACTGTTCAGCTGCCTCTCAATTATAACTGCTGTAGTAGAAGCACCTCAGTAATGGATAAGATCCTTGTTGCATGAATTTTCCTGGGGAAACATAGTGATATGTCTATTCACTCCATACAGAGAAATCACCATCAGACCCAAGAAAAGATTCCATCCAAGTGCATCTGGGTGAACCAATGAATGTATTGGGGTTGTATAGGGGTATGGGTGACTCACAGGCAACTACACCAGTTGAAAGTCCTCTGGCTGACTTAGCAGCTACACAACCAAGAAACCCCTTTTTCATAATCTCAGAGAAGCAAGGGAGCCCATGAGGATTTTAGAATAGCTTCATAAGGGTCTCTCCTCTCTCCGTGCCAGAATGTTAACAGGTCTGATCTCATGACAGTCTCCTGCAGATGATCACAGCTGTTATGTGGCTGGACAGCCATGTTCATGGACATCCCAGAGAAAAGAACTACACTGTAGTCCTCTATTAGGGATGTATTCTGTCCTTTTTCTTGGTTTACTAGTCTTGAGTTTCTCTACAGATTCCTGCTTGATGTATAATTTCAAACATTCATGTGCATTTCATAGTTCAATGAGATCTCTAATTCTTCAATAACTACTACTAGAGGCCACAGGAAATAACCTACCATTTTATTCCCAGATTCCATCTACCCAAATTATGTATCAAGCTATCAAAGCAAAAATCAACTAATCACAATAGTTTGTTCTGAGTCAGAAATCACATCATAGAGGAATTTCAAGAGCCTCACAAAGTGCACTAACCCCTCATCACACGTGTTTCTACTTCTGATAATATCTTCCTAGTCTGATCAAGTCATTCAGAAGCAGTGACCAGTTCACCCTGATGGGAACACCTTCCAACTCCCATCCCAATTGTACTAGTTACTTTTCTGTTGCTGTGATAGAAACACCATGCCCAAGGAAACTTATGAAAGGAAGAGTTTATTTAGCTTATGGTTCCGAAAGGGCAAGAGTTCATCGTGGGGGTGGATCATGGGGAGAGAGGTGGCTGGAGTAGGAGCAGAAACTAAGCCCTCACATCATCAATCAGGCACAGGAAGCAGAGCACAACTAGAGATCCAGCAAAGATTAAGAATTCTGTAAACCAACCCCCAGTGACGTACTTCCTCCAGCATGGTTACACCTTCTAAGGCCTCTCAAAACAGTGCCACCAACTGGGGACAAAATGTCCAAATGCTTGGAATCTCTAGGGGACATTCTCATTCAAACCACCACAACTGTCCACCAAAACAACATCCTAGGTGTCATGGAGCCAGAAGAACACACCGTGCTTCCTAAGCACAAATGCCAGGACCTTAACTACTCATCACACGTGGAGCTTGACTCATATCAGGTGTTCCTTTACATAGAATTAAAAACAGCCCTGTGTTTTCCAGCACATCAGGTTCTAACATAAGTGCTCAGCTTTTTTTTCTTAAACTGAATATGATCATGTCCTATAATCAAGAAGAAATGTTTGTAAGTATCTCTGAGAAGAATGGAATATCTAGCTAGAGATAAAGGGGTGAAATATTTGTAAAATGCTAAAAATCATGTTTTAAAATGATTATAATAACCTAGAAAATACCATAAATCACAGTAAAATTATTGTTTAAAATTGTGTACCACATATACATAACTTTTTCACAGTTTTGCTAAGATGCACCAAGGAGAGAAAGACTAAAAAGAACCAAACAATACTATCGCTGAGTTGGAAATTGTTGGAATTTCCATTTTCTTCATAGTTTTTGTCTTTTCTAAATATTTTAATATTTACATGTATTATTTTCTAAGTAGAAAGAATACAGGTACAAAGATGGCAATTTTAAGTACTTCAACTCAGGGGCTAGAGAGATGGCCTAGCAGTTAAGAGCACTGGACTGCTCTTCCAGAGCACCTGGGTTTGATTCTAAACACCCACATGGCAGATAACAACTGTTCATAAGTCCAGTTCTAGGGGATCCAATACCCTCTTCTGGCCTCCACAGCCTTTGCATGATGCAGGTGCACTTACATACACGCAGGCAAATCACTTCTATACATAAAACAAAAATAATAAAATTTAAATAGCTCAGCTCTTTTCAAAGAACTATCTGATATATTCCTTCATCTCTATGTGAAACCATTGGTATACATGATTTTAAAATAGTTTTCATATTATGTATATATTCCTATATATACTATTTATGCATCATTTTTCCCCGAAACGTTATATTTTCCCAAGCATGCAGTTCCATGTTTTCTTTCTTAGAAATCACAGCAAGAGCTCTGATTCTCTTGTTTCCAAGTAGGTTCATTTTAAAAGATGGTTTCATACCAGCCCCATAACAGGACCATTGTCTTGGATCTTGTTGTCAGATTTCAAAAGACTTTCTTGGAACATGTGTGTGCTTTTAGATCTGCCTTTCCATTCAAAATACCTCCATCACACTGTGAAGCTCTGTCTAAAACTTCTTAAGAAGTTCAGTTTTTCCTTTGGCATCGAAGAGGAAAGTGTTTCGTTGACACAGCATCGGAAAACCAAATGAGCTTTATTGTTTGTGAGCCTCCTCAGCCTGGACTGCAAAAAATGAATTCATAACTCAGGAATCACAAACAAGGGAAGGCCAATCCTTCTCCAGCTGCTTTTGGGAGTCAGAGGAAGGAATTGTCCCATCTGTGCTCATGCAGCTGAAATAATCTATTCTGGACCCAGGCTGAAGGCAGTTTGAAAGAAGAGTTGTTACTTCCCATAGATGATTTTAAAATGAAAACGCTTTACCTGTATGACTTATGTTAAGATGATGGATGCTATGAACTCTACTTCCTGTCTGACCTTTTATATCCTAGCACTTAAAATATGAAATATTTCCTTCTTTAATGGCCACATATTTCTTCAGCTTGTACCTTCTAACCCTATAAAGGAGATCTTTGCCTTTCTCTTATTCAGCTAATAACTAGCTTTTTAACTTGGTCAAATGACTCCACCTCTCTGTTTCCTTGTTACCTCGAATGTAAAAGAGAAGCTTCACACTAATTATATTCAAGGTCCCTTTTCACAACAAAACCAATGCTTTTCAGATAGCTTGGGCTCATATTTGAAGACAAAAAAAAAAAACTTCAATCATACCATCTATAGAAAGTGGTTACTTGAAGAAATTGGGGGAAAATGGGGCACTTACGGTTTTTATAAAAGCATAACACCTTCATCACACACCTCATCTTCTCTCAGTGCTCAGATAAGTCATGCCTGAGGACGCCATCTCTGAAGAAGAGAGTTTCTGATGCCAACCTAGAAGGGAAAAAGGATTCTGGAATGCTGAAGTACATCAGGCTTCAGGTATTAACTTCTGGTTCAAAAACATTCATGGAGCATTAGCAGGAAAGAGGCTCTATAATACCCTGTTGATGAGTATCTGGAGCATACAATAGAAGCTGACACTGTGTTGCATTAAAAGCCCTCTTAACTGGTGAGGAAGGACGCCAGGAGATCTTACTTGCTGTGCAACTAGTTTCCACAGTGAGGCCTGAAAGTTGAGTAGACTACGTCTACACTGTCCTTTCCTGTGGAGCTAATCTCCCACTGCATGTGATGGCTACGTCCACAGGCTTTGAAATGAGGCCATCTAGATCCATGTACCCTGTCTGCTGCTTGGGCTGATAGATTTAGTAAAGTTATGTGTTTCCCTTGCTCTTCATCTTCCCGTCTATAAACTGAGGATTGTAACAATATACTTATACCAAAGGATTACTGCTTGGATTAAATAAAATAATGTATCAGCCTACTTACCCAGGTCTTGACATATTATATTGAACTTGAAAAACTAAACTCTAAATCATACACTTACCCTTCTGGGGTGGAAGGACTTTTTTATTTTCCTAGAATGCTTAAAACAATGACTTATTTATAATGTACATATATATGTGCTAAATTATCTAAAATAATGGACCAAGTAGGATTTTGTGAGTGGAAGGGGAAGGCATGACCACAATGTATACTTACATTGTTTAGCAGAGAAATACCATCCAAGTTCAAACTACCTTAGGAAATTAACTTTATAAATGGGCCCTTTACAAGTTTTCACTGGAAATTGTGAACATGAAGGAAAATAAAAACTTTAAAAGTCCACCAGGGCTTTTAACACAACTTGTATGTTTGGGAGGATCTTTCTAAACTCTAGATTTGCTCTTATTCTACATTTAATTCTTGGAGTAATTGTAAAGTGATTTTTGTGATGAAAATATTACAAGATTAGTAATTTTTTCTGAGTTGACGCAACCAATAAAGGATAAATTTTATGCACCATGCCACCTAAATCTGCTCCCATTTTTAGAAAATACCTTTACGGTCACTTACAAGAGGCAGAGAAAGGAAGTAGATCATAAGTTTCAAGAAATAATTGTTTTAAAATTTTTTCAAGCACGATCTGTCTCCTTCCAGGTGATGAGCTTGTCACCTGCTCCCTTGTCCCTGTTAATCAAGGCAGCACCGATTCTGACAGAGGAGATGTATGGAGACATCCAGCCTGCAGCGTGGGAGCTCCTGCTTAGCATGGATGAGCACATGGCAGGGGCAGCAGGTAAAACAGACCACCCAGGGCCTGGCCTCTGCGGCCTCTAGTGACCGAAGTGTTGAAACTGAGGGAGGAGTGCCCTGAATTCTGTCAGGTTACGGAAGTTTGTAAACTCTAGCCAGAGGTGTGCACCAGAGGAAAGTACACCTGTGTTTTTAGAGTTTCCTTCAAATTTTGCTATGTGTTTACACTAACTCATTTCTGATCTCGCTCATGGTACAGTCAGAACTCTATGACTATAACAGAATACTTTGGGATGGGGTTGCAGCTCAGTTGGTAGAAGGCGTGTCTGGTATGCAAAGCCCTGGGTACAACCCCCAGTATGACATAAAACCAGGCAAGGTGGCCTATGCTTATAACACTGCCACGCAGGAGGTGGAGGCTGGAGGAACAGAAGTTCAAAGTTATCCGTGGCTATACAGTGAGCTCAAGGCCATGAGTACATGAGAGCCTACTCAAAAACAAACAAACAAGGGACTGGAGAGATGGTTCAGTGGTTAAGAGCACTGGCTGCACTTGCAGAGGACCTGGGTTCAGTTCCCATCACCCACATGGCAGTTAACGACCATCCGTTGTAACTCCAGTTCCAGGGGATCCAATGCCCTCCTTTGCCTCCTCAGGCATTGCACGGCACAGGTGCACTTATATACATACAGGCAATAATACACTCATACACATAAAATAAAAATAATAAAATTAAAAATAATTTTTAAAAAACAAAGATAATCAAGTTGTAAAGAGAAAAAGTTGATTTTCTCATGGTTTTAGAGACTCCAGTGCTTTCAGACCTCTGCTAGGGTGCCGAGTGTCAATGAAATGGGGTACAGCAGGGCAGAACTACTCACATCCCGACTACATATATGTAATGTACATGTTGGAATGTGCACTTGTGGTATGTCTCCATTTTCACACAAATGGCACATAATGTAAAATTTTTGCATTTTGTACATTTTCATTGATATCTAAGATCCCATTTTCAACATCAGTTTATAGTTTCATCTTATTCTTTTTAGTGGTTACAAAATATTCCACTGAATTAATAGATATATTATAACCTATCTAACCAAAACCTATAAGTAGACATTTAGGAAGAGGATGCCCTCCAAAAGGAGACCATCATGAGGACATCCCTGGAAAATATAAACAGGTAGAGGTCTTGGGAAATTGACCAATGAGTAAAGTGCTTGCTATGCAAGCTTGAGAATCTGAATTTGGATCCCCAGCACACATAAAAAGAAGAGCATGGGGGTGCACACCTGTAATCCCAGCACTGGGAGGCAGAGATCAGAAGACCCTGGGGGCTTGCTGGTCAGGCAGCCCAGCCAGTTGGTAAACCCCAGGTTCAGTAAGAGACCCTATCTTGGAGATCAATTGAAGACACCTGATGTTGACCTCTGGCCTCACGTGTGCATGTGCATGTAAATACACACACATACACACACACACACACACACACACACACACACACACAGCTGGAAATTAACCCAAGAGAAAATAATGTAATAGCCTTTTAAATCCTAAAGCATTAATTTTCATAGAAATTGATAAACACAAATGATTCTCAGAAGCTCCCTC